CTCTTCCCAGTTTCCATGTCGGTAGTTGCAAGTCGTCTTTCAGAATGACATCTCCATGTTGGAACCGTGTCGACAATCTTTGTAGGGTCCTGGGCACGGTGTGACGAAGCAATATGTATCCGGTTTTCTTGTGCTTCTTAAACTCTCTTCAAAACTCCAGCTGCTTTACGTTTCGCTTTTCGATGAATGAAGTTGACTTTTCCATTGCATTCGTTCGGACTGCACAATCTGCTGTCGATAACCTTTGCCTACAATCTTTGGTGAGTTGCGGTGCTGCTGGGGGTAACATGGTGGCTTGTGAACGTGGGATCTCACATCGTCCCAGCCAGAAGTGTTAAACTGACCACTCGATTTATGGCACGAATCGATCGGCTCGCTTGTTCATGAGCGTCCAGACGCTATAGGTGAATAATGGCGTACATTTTCGGAGTAAATGTCTTTAAACATCCAGCCGAAAATTTTTGTTCCATGGTGGTAAGGTCTTCGTTCAAGCTATACATTTCCCCGTGACGAGCTGCCAGCAGGCGACTGAAAGTATTGAGATGGCAATGTCTCCCGTTACGAGACCAGCAGGAATAACATCTGCGGCTATACGGCCGTGCGAACGAATCTGTCCTAATAAATTGTCACCGAGTCGTTAATATGAGATGGCGCACAGGTAAGGAATTTCTAGTGCTTCAGGTGATACTTTACGATTGCTGTGTTGGCTTTGAGTGGTGATGACCACGAGTCAACATTGATGTTTAGAAGCTATGTTTTCAAACGTGAAGATTGTTAAAACCTCTTCGCCAACGACTCCACAACCAAATTTTTCAAAAACATCATGTTGAACTAATGTACTCTGGCTGCACTTTTCATTAATATTATAATTGAAGGCTGTTCGGACGTGTTTATAAGGCCCATCCGCTGGCAGTTTGTAAGAGCGCAGCGGAGGAGCGGAAAGTGCAGCTGGTTATGCTTACAACTGCTGTGGCTACTTCACAGAGGCCTCCTCGACGGTACCTTATGTCCGACCCTAGCAGGTCAATCTCTTACTTAAACGGCAAACACGTGCAATGTGGCTTTCCTTGCTGAATTTAAAGCAGAAACCTGCTCGTAAAAATTTGGCTAGTTTGTTTTGAGTTGCAAGCTTAGCTTGATAGTTCTGCACCTTGCGTTCGATGGGGCCACAGAAGGATCATGCTGTTGGTCGGTGACTTGCTGACATAGTTCCCAGTGCAAGCGTTGAAGGGTTGGTTGCAGGGGAGGCATCTTAAAGTCTCATTCGCAATTGTGTATGTCGGAGATTGTTGCTTGCATAATCGATGTAGCCATTCTCTCGGATTTCTGCTCTCATCCAAAGAAACGCCATGATGATGGCATCTTGTTCTGTTCGCAAGGCAGGTGTATCTGGAGGGGGATGCCGGTGCCGCCTTTTTCAACTTCTGGCTTTACAGGATAGCTAGGTCGCAGGGAAAGCAGCGCATGAGGACGCGAAGCACAACGACAATATAGTTGGTAGGTGGAATATCTAACTCTTTCAAAGACGTGGTTCAGAAACGTATTGCCCTGTCCAGTTTCCGCAGATATACTACGTTGTTGGAGCTGTTGATCATCGGTAGACTTACAAAGTTGTTGATATGATCTTCGACTCAGGTGTCACGCAGTCGAAATTGGTCATTACGCACTGCCAGATCATAATTCAGTTCGGACAGTCGTATTCCCACCACAGCTCGCTTGGCGCAAGATATCAGGTACGGAAGGAAGTACTTAAACTTTGCGATTGGCGGGAGATCAAAATATACTTGAATGGTTGCGTTCAAATGATATCAACATCGCTGCTACTCGCAAAGTTTTACTTCGAAAGTTGGCGCAAGCAGCTTCAGGAGGGAGACTGTTGGAAGACTCCCCAGGGCAGATACAGGAGGAGCGTTGATGGAAGTCGCTTTCGTGGGAAGAAAGTCGTCGGGCTGGAGGTTGTCGAGTCGGAAATTCGTCGCGGTCGTGGCAATGTTCAAGAGTTGCGGCGGGTTGCCTCTAGACTGCAGGGCCTACTGAACGCGTGTGATGCTGTGGTGAATTTCTAAATGGTAATATTCTGCTCCTTCCTGTTCGTTTTTTAGATTGCCATCGATAGTCAATGCTAGTATTTCGCCTTCAAGCTCGACCAAACGCGTTTCATTCTGGATTAGCTAGTACAACGGAAGCAGGAAACTCCAGATCTGGGGTGTCCGCGTTCAGGAGAAGAACGTCTATGCTGTTGAGCTTTGGGCTCACGGTGCCACGGGTCCTGCATAGGCAATTTATCGTGATCCCCTCGAAGTGTTTCGGCCCCAAATGCTGTAGATGAAGAGAGGGACCCCGGATGTCATCTGGTTCGTAAGGGCGTTTATTGAACACTCAGTCTGCCGGCGTGCAAGCACTTGCGTGAACGTGCCCAAGCACTTGTACTTCTCTGCATTTTACATAAGGTGTGGTCAAGCTAAAGAACGTATGAATGCGTACTCTTTATTTAAGACGCATAAAAGGGTCTGTGAGGCTTGGGCAAAAGAAGACAAGTTGTCTTCTGACGAGGCTCCAGCCCTTTCTTACAGCACTCGGAAGAGAAATGGGAATATAATCAAAATAATTATACACAAATGGAGTGATTCCGACATCCAACAGAACACAAAACAGGTAACTGTCAACTTCGTACTAACTGCAGATCATGAGATGCCAAGTATATACTCTTTAACTGTTTTTAATTATAACGAACAAAACAAGAACGATATGTTCTTGGGCCGTTTCTGCTACAGTTGGGTGTGTGTTTAGTAGCTCTTGTACCAGATATGTAAGGTGCTGTGTACCGTAATTAGTTCGAACGCTAGGATTAGTATATTTCGCGCTTCTTAAACTTCTTAAACGTTGTAAAGACATCAAAATTATGCCCAGAGCAAGTCGTCTGCTTCTTGCAAAGGGGTTGCTATGACGTCGGAACGACGCCGGGTTTTGATGCTAAAAGCCTTGATATAGTGGGTATACCTCAATGCTAGATGGCCTTGATGTCTACCCTTTATTTATTCAACCAGCCAATAAGAGCTCGGCGTTCTGACATCATCGCAACTCCTATGTAAAGAGCATACGAACTTGCGCTCCAAATATGAACCACTCCTTAGTTAACTGACAAGTAATCTGTGCTTTCCAGTTATAGTGTGCCTTCATATACGTCGTTATACTGCGTTTTACAATAGTTTCAGTTGACGCCCCTGAATAAAATGGTAGCGAAATCTTCTCCCTCCTCCTCTAACGCGCACACCGCACACCTTTCATTTTCATGCTTTGCTTTTTTACCCCCGCACGTCGACTGTAACGCCGCATGGTTTGGCCCAAGATAGCAGCCGGCCTTTCTATACTTGAGTCAGAGCGCAGTGAAAGGCTGAAAAGCACACAAATACATACACACAGGCTAAAAGCGCACTGTCACGGTCTACCAGCCTCGAAGGATGTGCTCAAAGAAAGACGATGAAAGCCGTGGCGTTGCGCAGTCGGCGTTATTTGATTGGCGACCTGAGCTCATAGCATGCACTACACTCCGTCAGCATAGGCATTCCTTCTCCCTCCTCCTCTAGCGCGCACACCTTTTATTTGTATGTTTTGCTTTTTTACACCCGCGCGTCGACTGTAGCACCGCCTGGTTTGGCCCAAGATAGCAGACGGCCTTTCTATACTTGAGTCAGAGCGCAGTCAAAGGCTGCCAAGACACGCAAATACATACACTCTAATAAGGTGGAGAACTGGGCCAGTTGATCGACGTTATACATGATGGGGAAAACAGCTCACAAAACACGGACTACGAAGAGGAACACACTCGACAGGACAATGCTGTACTCGCAACTGTCAGTTGCGAGTACAGCATTGTCGTGTCGTGTGTGTTCCTCTTAGTAGTCCGTGTCTTCTGAGCTGTTTTCCCCATCATGTATAACATACACACAGGCTGAAAGCTCACTGTCGTGGTCTACCAGCCTCGAAGCCATGACGTTGCACAGTCGGCGTTATTTGATTGGTGACATGAGCTTGAGCTCATAGCCTGCACTGCACACCGAGAGCATAGGCATTCCTTCTCCCTCCTTTTCTGGCGCGCACACCTTTTATCTTTATGTTTTGCTTTTTTACACCCGCGCGTCGACGGTAGCGCCGCCTGGTTTGGCCCAAGATAGCAGGCGGCATTCTTCAAAGGATGTCCCTAGTTTTCCGTACATAGAGGCTTTTGGTTCAGTACGTTCACGCACAGCTTACGCTAGGTTCCGAAGTAGAAAGTCAAGCAGTGCGCCAAAAAAAGTGCCTCGTCACGCCACACGTAGTCTTTGTGAGCTCGCTGTCACTGGCTGAACCAATCGCGCACGAATAAAACCGCCAAATCAAGGCACATTGACAGTGCGTGGTGGTCGTAACCGAAAGTAGCAAATGCATAAAAGTGGCGGGCACCGTTGCGATTCACTTTTCGCGCCTCTCAATAAACTCCATCTGATCGCAGCGCCTCACGTCCCTAATAACGCTATGCGAGGCAGCCACAAGTCCTCCTCCCCTGCCCTCCTCGCCTCGCTCCTGTTGTCTGCTAGCGCGCGGTCCGCCATGTTCGTCCCAACTCGGCCACCATGGCTGTGTTCGAAATCTGCCGAGTTCCTCCGGGACGGGTCATGTCACTTGACGATCCAGATAGAACAACGCTGGACGCGGCTAGGTTTTCAAACGCCGAGGTTCCAAACGTCACTCGAGAGTGACGTCGAGTCAAATCCGCTATGTTCTGTTTAATCGGAATCTGAACGTGGGCACGGAACAAGGGTAGAGCGCGTCGAGGTAGTTTAGTAGCACCGATTACGCTGGAAATTATTGTGAGACAATATAGTGCATGGGGAATAAAAGCTTGTAACTCTAATCAAATTGTTTTTCGTTAACCTCTATACATTTGTCTTAACGGTTTTGTTTCAGCGAGCCAGGCTGAGAGGACGCTGATGATATTAAGCATCTACAGCAGCACCTCCATGGAGGCTGTGAAGGAGGCAGCACCAAAAGGACTTCGATGGTTCCAGGTGCAAATGATCCCAAACCTGGATTTTGTAAAAAACCTGGTTAGACGCGCAGAAGGCGCCGGCTACCGTGCACTCGTGGTCACTGTGGACATGCCTGTGGATGGAAAGAAAATCGTGGAACGCGAGGAAAGTTCCAGTATCCCGGGCGGAATCAGGTACGTTGTACTTATATCTTGAGATATCTAAGAAGGCTTAAGTAAAGGGGCCACAACGAAAAATTACCAAGCGTACCATGTTGATATTGGGCAGTTCCATATCGGGAAATGCCAGAGTAAACCGGTAATATTATAAAAAAATATTAGCGTATAATAATTTTTTCATAAAGGCCTATTCGATATCCGGGGATGCTGAAGTAAACGGACCTTGTTGATTTAAACATTGAGCGAACAATAGCGGTTTGATAAAGACCGGCTCAATATCTGGGAATGCATAAATTAGCGGGTCATGTTGGTGAAAGCATTAAGCGTACAATGAAGTCACAATAAAGTCCGTTTCAATATTTGGGAATGCCTCAGTAAACCGGCCATATTGAGAGAAACATTTAGCGAACAATAGCGTCTTGATAAAGGCCGGTTCGCAAATTTGGTACTAAGTGTAAGCTGTACTTATCCTATAAATAGGGCGCAGCATGTTTTACTCGAGCCTGCGTTGAGAAAATATGGTTGCATAAGTTTAACACTTACAAAGCTAGGCGACGATTCATATAACGTACAGGCGCGGTAACAGAACTGTATAAATTGCTTTCTTTGCAAACGCTGCGGGAAGCCAGTACTTTTGAAATCCTCAGCCACACGCTTGAATCCCTATTATGACGATCATGACAATAAAGATAATGCGAACACCAATGATACTAATAAATAATAAATGACTACTTAACCAACCATTTTATGCAATCACTCAACCGCTTACGACAATTCTCAGGGTGACGAGGCGCACCCAAATGGCGCTGTGGTGGAACGATAAGTCACATTTGGAATACCAAATGAAAGATAGAACTCTAAGAATTGGCACTTTCGGATGAGGAACAAAAGTTTGCCTAGATATATATTTTGCCATGCATGCTAATCAGACTATCAATTCAACCACTTTCTTAAAAAAACACGTTTTCACTATCGACTTTCCCCGAAGAAAGAGTAGGAGTTGTTATAGGAACGAGACGCGGAAGGCGAACCGTTTAAAAAACCTTAATATGACAAGCGGGGGCGAGTCGCTAACACATAGCGAAATGTCCCTTAATATTGTGTGGATCTTTAAAAGAACAATTGTGATATAATTTAGCCTTCGTCAATCGCACGAAGCCCAACACAACGCGCCATAAACCCAGATGCGCCAACTTCGAGGGAATCATGAACTCCGAGGATACGCTGCCTAATGCGCCGCTTTTCAAGAGGCAAGCATGGAGCGACCCTTCGCAGACTTGGGATCACGTCACCTGGTTGATGAGCATCAGCAAGCTACCCGTGATTGTGAAGGGAATCACCACAGGTGCTATTATCCTACATCTACTGCAATATTTCTGAACGCTATTGTCTTCCTGAGCAAACCTGACACTCATGAACACCTTAGCGTTTTCCCACGTGTGACCGAGATACGACTATGGTGCCTAAAACTCCCCTCCCACTGATGTGCTTAGCGCGACCTAAAACATGGTCTCTCGCTTTCCGGCTGATCCGATGAAAAAGTATCATGTTGTTAGCGGCCGTGATCTTGGTTTTGTCAAAGTATAGGTGGTGGATGTAGCAGCCTCCTGATCTGCTAGAGGTCGATCCCCAGCTTAATAGTCCAAGGAAGTTTCAGCAGTCAGGAGTTGAGATGGCACGACTACAGCGACTCTCGTTCGCACATGGTTCTTGCCAGAATTTACACGACCAGCCGCCCGGATTGCGACGTCCGACAGCTTGACACTCCTGCTTCACCGCCGGCCTGTTCACTTCTAGCCTGACGCCTTTGGGCCTCAGATTTCGAGGAAATGCCAAAATTAGGCCTCAATCTGGCTTTTTTTTTTTTTTACCTGATAATTTTGGGCCAAAACTGCCAAACAAGTGCTAGATTTAGAGTTTGCTACTGTCTAATCGGTTGATACGTGGCCCCTTTTGCACAACTCTGGCACTTCTGTAATTGTGTGAAAAACTAGAGAAATGCCATAAACGGCAAAAACCACTTTGTGTTAATTTGTTTTATGTATTTATTTTATTATCTCGAGGCCCAGAGGGCGTTATATGGCAACTAAAGCGGTTTTCTATTTAATGGAAAACACCTAAAACGTCTTTATTTGACTTTCAAGATCACGAATGCGGAGATTATCTTTAAATTTGGTGCAAGGAGGTTGCAGAAAATCCTTTATGAGGTACGGCTGAAGCTCCCCTTTTCAAAGCGTTACGTCATATCCAGAGTTTTCGGAATCTCCGCCATCCTGCAACGTCTGCGCCTATCAAAGTTATGCTCACGTACTCTTGCTATTCTGAAAAAAAAAGGTAAACAAAGACGTCACGACTGATGTCAGTTAGTGGAAATATACCTATCAAGTTTGCGATTGCACGCGCTGCCCACACAAGCGGCACGCGCTTGGCGGCCAAAAGATCTGGGTATGACGGGACGTAACGACTAACTGGAGGTTTTTCGTGTTTTCTGGTTTTTAGTTACATCTTCGGGAAAAAAACGAACGTGATATTTAGATTCAGGAGATAAAAAGTCCCCACTAACTTGTTTTTCTGAAGAACCTTTTTAGTTTTTTCTTAGGAAGCGGAAAGTAAATAACAAATACATCAAATTGGCAAACTAAAATTAAAAAAAACACCAAATCTAGGTTACAAAAAAAAACACATTAATTCCAAGTTTGAAAACTGAAAACATCGGTCATTTCGGCGACTGAGGTGGGCAGATGGTTCCATTTAGCGCTGGTCGTTGGAATTAATTAATAAAAAAAACACGATAGTATGACAAAAAGGGATATGTACTTTATGGTGACGATCTGTACGAAGAGGTATGACGGCTCAGGAAGAAGCTCGCTTTTTAGTGACTCATTAGAATGATAAATTTTGTAAAATAGAGCTAGTCGTGACACATTTTACGTGGGTCCAGTTGGGGGAGATTTAGGTTGGTTTTCATTGAGGGATATGCTTAATAAACGAGCGCAAAAAAAAAATAAAGCATGCACTGCAATTTCGCACTGTGCTTCTGTGTTCTTAGTAAAAAAGTCAAGGCCGAGATCCGATGCTGATGATGCATATTCAAGTTTAGAAAAGACGAGAGTTTTGTACAGAAGTAATGGTGTGAATGCTTACGCCTGCGATTAAAGTTGTTAATTATATAATTGATAGATGGTCTACCAGGAGAGGCGGTAAATGAATGTCGAGGTACTTCTAGGATGTTACCTCATCTGGAGCAAGCTCTGCAACGTAATAGGTAAAAACATTACCACCGAGCAGACGGCAAGAAATTTGCATTAATTTGCATTTATTATTAAGACGCATTTTCAATGAGCTACACCAAATGTAAATTTTGTTCAGATCAGCTTGAAGTGCGGAGGTATCAAGACTAGCGGAGATAACAAGAGAAATGACAGAGTTTTTGGCTAACTACTTGATTGATGTTCGTAATGCAGTTAATGCAAAGTGCGTGTGAGCGAAACAAGGATGAAGATGACCATTTTCGCTGAAGGGGAAAAGTGGACCAAAGCACAAATACAAATCTCCAAACGCAGCTAGCTGACTGGTGTGTGACCAAAAATATACGCCTGGTCCTGATATTAAACCAGCGATCCCTCCATTTCCAGTGGAGCACTCTACCAACTGAGCTAGCCAGGAATTAGACGTCAGAAAAACAAACACCCCCTTCTCTAGGGATTATGATCGTCTTTCTTGTCCAGCTTGCTAGCACCTTTGTATTATTTGCATTACCATCATACGGACTTTTTCGGTCGCTCACCAGTCATCTTGCTGTGTCTGGAGATTTGTTTTTGACCTTTGTCCCCCTTGTTCCTGTTCTCTAGAAGTATTATCGTCATTTTTGTCCAGCTCGCTTGCACCTTTGCATTAATTGCATGATCATTGTAACTGTAAATGCAGGCCGTTCACCCTTGCGACTGCTAGGCTGGTGGCAGCTGATAAAAACCGTTTGTTCTACTGACGTCTAACTCCTAGTTACCTCAGTTGGCAGCGCACTCCATTGGAAATGGAGAGGTCCCTGATTCAATACCAGGACCAGGCGGATTTTTTCGGTCGCTTACCAGTCGCCTAGTTGTGTTTGGAAATTTATGTTTGTGCTTTGCACCCATTGTTCCCTTCTCTAGAGATTATTATCCTCACTTGATTGGCGAAGAGGGAAACATAGGTAAATCATTTATGTAAATGAAAAATAGCGGGGTACCGATATCAGAGTCTTGCGGCATGCGAGAGGTGACCGGACAAGGCGAGCATTCGAAGTCGAGAGCTGTTACAAATTGGGTTCTGTTACATAGAAAATACTTGATCTTCTTGATGGTATGCCGGTCAATGTTTAATTTGCTTAAGTTGAGACAATATAGTATGAGAGAAATATGATTGAAAGCTTTTGAGAAATCAAGAATACCCAGTTGATATGAAAACAATTGTCTAAACCAGAAAAACGTTTTTTGTTTAAAGAAAATTTTGTTTCGCACGAATAAGATTCAAGAAGACAGTGCTAATATCAAGTAAAATAACTTGACTTAAAAAAAAATGGCGTTAGAATAAATTATATGTTCCAAAACTTTGGGGGGTAACTGATTAATGAGATCGGGCCGTAATTAAGTCGAGAGTGGTGATCACCCGATTTAAATAATGTCACTATCATGCCCACTTTTCAGTCGCCTGGTTTCACACAAGAACTTGGAGACAGTGAAATGAGCTTAAAGTTACGGACAAGTAAACTTGAAAATTATATTTTAATTTGGAGTAATACCGCCCGTTCCTATCTACAGTCACACTTAAATTTTTTATTAAGTGAATCACATTAACGTAGTCTATATACAAAGGACAGCAGGGAATGGCAACTCACATCGCTAATGTGCGAAAGACAAACAGGGGGCAGATTAAAAATTTACTTATAAAAGGCTTGATCCAAACTGAACAACATTTAAATCTGTCAAGAACCACACCGTAGCAATAACTTAGATAGGCTGTCTTATCTTTGGAATGAACGATGAAACTTCAGAAATGTTTGACATTTTTTTTCTATTGGTTGCAAAGGATGTGTGTTGTGGAAGAAAATGTGCTTAGCTTCCCTGGCTGCGTTTTTAAAAAAAGACGTAATGTGATAACTAGACCAGTGATCTTACGTATCACTTCATGTGGCATTGCGAAATAGCCGCATTTTTTTATTAAAAGACTCATCAACGAAACTCTGAACCAAGACAATTGATGATTGCAAGGAATGATCTGTGAATTTTTATTGACTAAACAATTCACCTTATTTTAAAAAAAGAGTTCAGTTTGTTTTAACAGTAGGTTCGACGAATTCCGCCGCGTACTCATCCAGAAATGTGCAAGTTCACTAATATTAGATGCAAAGTTGGCCTTTTGGTAGTCCCCATTATATTTTTTTTACTAAAGGATGATAATTGGGAAAAGTATATAAAACAATGACCACTTAGTTCCGGTGAAAAGCCAATCGATGAGCCTGGTCAAAAAAGGTTGTTAGGATGAGATCAAGCATACAGGCAATCGATTCTAAATCTTGCGTAGACTGAGTTATAAGCTGGGAGAAATTGAAATGGAAACCAGCGTTTCCAAACTTCACTTGATGAATCAGAACCATTTGGGCCGGCACCATAGCAAACTATTCTTGGAAAATTAAAGTTTCCTAATAAAATAATAGGTGCATGTGGGCATCTAACAACAATACAATTCAATACATCGTAAATATTAATGCAACATGTTGAAGATGCGTTTGGGGATCAATTACAGGCGCAAAACATTATGTCACGGTGTTGATTCGTATGCCAGTGCAGACCACTTCCAAGCAAGAAGGAACGGGAATGCGATAGGAGTGGATGTGCCCTGACACGGGGATTAGGACACCGCCTCCATATCTAGCATCGCGATCACACGAATAGATACTAAAAGGTTTTTCACAATCAGGTATTTTATTGTGAGATATATTTGCAGATAATCAAGTTTCTGTTAGTATAACTTTGGCACCAACAAACGCCTTGGAGCGAAATATTGTTAAAACCAAGTTAGACCACAGAATTGCCAAACTTGGTACAAGTTTGGCGTTCTTTGCCATGCCGCCTGGGGGTCTACACAGAATAGGAGCGAAATAGCGACTCGCAAAAATCATAATTCTAAGCCCGTGCAAATATTTTCTCAATAAACAGATGTTACGGGAAACATATAAAGTTATTTTGTAATCGACATTTGCAACCAGCGTATTGTTCAACGAGACATGAAAAGCCAGTCATAAATACAATAAACGATAGCATTGATTTTTGCTACTAAATTAAAGCAAAAGTAAGCCGGGACTATCTAATTTGTCTCCTAAAAATAATTTCAAAAGGAGTGTCACGTTCCCGGAGATTACAGTTGTCTGGAGGAAACAAACATGTCTATCATGTGCTTGTGACGGAGTAGAGACACAAACCACTGCTCGGTTTGTTCTCAGGAATCCTCAGATTTGTTGGCGGAAATTCGGGCTCGTGTTCTTGACCAATGAGCACGACGAAATGTCCATAGAACGCAACGGGCCCTTGGCATTGCAATATCAGCTACATTGTTGTAATTACAAAAGTGACACGAAGCTGTGATACAATATATAGGGTGGTTCAAGTCACCAGGCTCGATCTAAATTGGACCGTAAAAATCGACGCCTGCACGGAGCCATCTAAACTTTTCGTCAAAGGTGTATTTCACTGGTCTGTTTTTTCTTGTAAAATTACAAAGCGTAGTTCCTTTTTAGTAAAAAATAAGGCCAAGAAACTTGCCAAGTTCTACGGCGGACGGCGACCCAGACGACCAAGTTCAGTAGCGGGGTGTGTTTGGCCTTGGTATTGATAGATGGCGTCGGGAGCAGCGTCCGAAGGTGCAGCCGACCACCGAAAGATAGCAGACGACACGCAGACAAAATTCGTTGGCAGCAAAAGCGCCGCCGTTATGCAGACGCGTTTCTTTACTTTAAGTTTTGATCTTATTGTTCGCATTCATTTTTTAACCGAAGGTTCATTTCAAAAAGAATATATTCATTTTAATAAACCCCGATGGTCGCGAGTCGTCGCGATTAGGAGGTAGCGCTATCTATCAATAGAGAACGCCAAACATACCCCGCTACTGGACCCCTGTCGCCTGCGTTGCTGCCCGCCGTAGACCCTGGCAAGTTTCTTGGCCTTATTTTTTACAGAAACTGAGCTACGCTTTGTAATTTTACGAAAAAAACCGACCTGTGAATACACCTTTGACGAAAAGTTTAGATTTCTACGTGCAGGCGTCGATTTTTACGGTCCATTTGAGATCGAGCCTGGTGACTTGAACCACCCTATATAACAATTTTGTTTGGTGGTGGAGAGTTGAAATAGCCGATTGTCTTTAAATTTTCTGCTCGATGTTTCTTTTGGGTCTTTTCCTACACGGTGAAAATCTAATTTATGCTTTGTGGCAGACCTACATGCCCCAAATATAGTCCCACGGGCTGTTCACGGTCCCCGTAAAAAATTGTGGTTGAAAGTTAGCACTAATAGCATATATGTCGCCATAATTTGCATAACATATGCTTGTTTGCAATCGGTTCACCAGTCCGAAGTCAGCTATGACGTCATGTCAAAGGTGCCCACCGGAAGCCAAGTTTGAGTGTGCGGTGTTCAACGGGCACTCATAATGACAGCACGTTGCAGAAGCACTCTGGAAGGTCGCATGTGAGCGCAAGCTCAGCCGCAATAGACTAATCTATGAATGCTGGCAAGTTCCTGACCTCGCAAAATTATTTTAGATGACATAAAAAACTGCACCTAATTGTAGTGAACGACTTTGTCCGTAAATGTTTATACTCTGTTTTCAGGTCGTAATAAGGAAACGCTCTCAAACGTTAGAAGTAAAGTTCTCGTCGAATGTAGTTTAAACGTAATAGAAGGGCAGTAAATTTATTTTAAGAGGCTTAGAATAGATGCTTTACTAGGGAAATATACCTAATTGCGCGCGAATTTTACAGCCCTGGCGCGGACAGACCATGAGCAGATGAACGGCCTATGGCGCCTCAGAGTCGGAGTTCTTGCTTTTACTATTATTGGGAGCGGTGCTGTTGCCACCATGTCTCGTCGTAAGCACCTCTAGCGCCAGTTGAGACAGCCATCTCTGTTATTTTGGCGAACTCAGTATATCAATGTGCCGGCGGCAGCCTTTTACCCTTAACGCCGAGTGACAGCTGGACAGCATCGGAGAGCACAATCCACATGCGCTTTCTCGTACGCGAAGTGTCTGCACTTTTGGGGATGGTTTGGTGCTGTAAGCGAGCAACGTTGCGAATGAGCGGATTGGTAGATATTCCTCCTAGTAAAAGTTGTTGCTCGTAATTTTGGTGGTGAAAATATTAATTTCACTTTCCATATATCTCACAGCCGAAGATGCGGAGGAAGCCGTCAAGCGTGGTGTTTCAGCGATCCTTGTCTCGAATCACGGCGGTCGACAGTTTGACGGAGTCGCAGCAACCGTACGTATACATGGAACAAGTCCTACCTCTCAATTAACCGATCAATCTCTCGATCGATCGATCAAAAATCGTGGGAAGGAATTAGGAAGTAATGGCTTGTGCGCGATGTCTATCGAGGACTGTGCTTCCGGTGTTAGGCTGTCCGGTTACTCTACAGACTTGCATTAGCATTTTGCCGTTCATTATCACGTCTCCATTTTCACTCTCTCTAAGATTGCAGAGACGAGCGGATACCGCGGTCAACTTTTGAGGGATATCTAGCTAGCTTTTCGCAGATGCGCTCTTTGCGCAAAGCAAACATTTAACGACAGTGAAGCTAGTCCTCGTTTTTCCGTGGATAGGATTTATAGGACGAGCTCTTCAAGATTTCGTGTTTAATGCGAGGGTGTATCTTCGATGGCATCACGTAGCACAATGACATCACAAATGACCTAAAAATGCATTGTTTTTAGAGCGTCCTTGTGTTATACAAAGGAAGATATACAGTTTTTCATTGTTTTTCTTAGTTTGAAAGTGTCATAATAAGCTCAATCTGCTTCTCTGTACGATGCTGTAGCAAACGTCAATAATTTGTGGAACTTCGACAACCCTTTTCTGGGCTGGTAATATAGCTGATATATATAAAAAAGACGTACTGAAGAAACCTGTTCACGACGGCTTCCGTGCCGAAGCGTTGCGTTGCTGTGAAGCGCGTCCGCTTTCACCTTGAGCGCACCCGTCGGCTTCCGCGACGAAGCATCTGCGTTGCTGCGCTTTTCATTGTGTTTTATTGGGAATGGAAATTTAGGTGCCATTTATCTGCTGTGGACGGTTGCTCACACCGCCGGCTCAGCTCCATGAGACCGTTAATGGCTTCGCATTAATAAAAGTAAAGCTCTACAGAGAGATGCACTTACAGAAAGGAAAACACCACAGCACTGATTTAAAACTAAAGTTTAGTTGTCACGACCGCTCGTATAAATACAAACCGTCATGGTGATTAAAGTGAGATTTAAAACCTGATTCACATGGTGCGCCTTCAGTTGCGGCTTAGTGTCGACATTTGTAGTGCGGCAAAAAAGAACGAAGGGAAAGGTGCGGTTCTTAACGTCGCTGTTGCGAAATTGCAAGCAGAATCCCACCATGTGAATCGGCATCAGTTTGCGACTTTGTGTTTCCTTTTGTCTTGTTTGATTACACTCCCCTCCTTTAAACAGTAGGGTACCCATCAGGAGCTTTGTTCAAAACCATCATTTAGAAATATACATATATCGTTTACTAAGAAAGGTAAGCAAAGCTCTTTTTGTTCGTGGTGTCCCTGCAGATTGAAATCCTCCCCGAGATTGTGCGTGCAGTCCGTGGTCGTGTTGAGGTCTATGTGGACGGCGGAGTTCGTCGTGGAACCGACGTGGTCAAGGCGCTGTCACTCGGAGCCAAAGCCGTGTTCGTTGGTCGTCCCGCCCTCTGGGGGCTGGCATACAACGTAAGACACACACCGAATTACTTCTAAACGTTTTTAGACAAAGCGGGTATTTACGTTTTCTATAGAACCACGCAACAAAGGCAAGTATACAGATATGCTGAAATTCCGCAGTGATGGCGCTGAAGGTGGCAGAAGATAGTTTCTTTCGCTAACAAAAAAAAATCTCAACAATTCTTGTGGCATATTGTAATAAAAAATTTAATGAATTCAATAGTAGAATTGTCAGCTTTAATTGCAGTCGCCTGATTAAGTACCTCATAATTATCAAGGAAAAAATGTATAGAGTAACACCACCAAGACAAGTGGGATATACTTGAACTGTCTATACTCTGTTTCATACTTAGCGTGCAACGCTGTCAATGCTTTTGGCACGAGCGTGGGGTTTGATCTCGCTGATCATTTGCATCTGTTCTCGCGCAAACAAAACCATAGATGAAGCCACGCGCTCGCGCCAGTAGCTTTGACAGCGTTGCACGCTAAGTGTGAAACGGAGTATAGACACTGTAAACACTGTAAATAGTAGTACGTTTGGCTGTTGTTAATATTAATGATCTGTCCAACAAAGTGACCGGTACTCACCGCTGAACTCCTGGCAGCAACCTAAAACACAAGGCCGGTGCTTTCAGCTTAAGCAGCTGAAAGGCAGTAACCATCGAGAAATATTTTTAAGTGTATTCACTGATGTGAATGTAGTGGAAAGGTAGGGCCTGGCGTTGAGGTGCACGTTTCTCGTCTAAAAACAAAGCGTGTTTCAGAGCTGTTACCGCCCTTGTCTGGCTTCTATGTCACTGCACGCAGTTTCTAAAATGGACTATAGAAAAACGTACTCGGCACATTTTCTAACAAACATTTACCTCCACAGGTTGATAGCTTAGTTCAGTGTTTCTCAAATATTGATGTTTCGCGGACTCCTTGTTTATTGGCGGAGATGATGGAGGATCCCGTTCGTTGTTATGAAAAAGGCACGTATAGGTTAATTATAATATTGAGGTAATATATGGATATAACTAAGGACTAGTGTGAAGTAGGCTTCTCTCATTGACATACACACAAGACTCAACCGAAAATTGAAGCGCTTCTTCTCAATTTGAAAAAAGACAACTTATATTGCTAAGCTCGACTGAATCAGCCGGGCTTTGCGGTCCCTTAAAATGAACTCGCGGACCCCAGTGGTTCTGTCGAGAACCACTGACCTAGTTGGATAGAAATCTGAAAAACAGTCAACACGAAAGACAAGGACAAGAAACTGTCCTGTCCAGTCTCTTACTTGTCCATGCCGTTCGCACTGTTTTGAAACCCTTGACACGTTTGTGTTTGTTACTTGGGTCGCAGCTCTAGTAGATTATATTTCCACCAGTTGTCCGGAAACAATGCCCAAATACGCAGCAGCCGTCGAATGCGAGAAGATTGAGGCCTTAATCCGCCATAGGGTAAAGGCTGGTTCAGACATCTGCAACGAGCGCGTTATGTACGACTGCGCCCGTTGTGACCGGAGCGACCGGAACGACCGCTTTGGGCCGCGCGCACGCACACCTGCAGCCACTGCAACAAGCTCACCGGGTCGTCAGCACGGCACCGCTTCGACGCCGCCGTCAGCTGTTTCAGGGGTGCCTCTAAAAAGAAGGGGACGCACTGCCACTCACTGGCGTAAAAGAAAATAGAAAAACAGAACAAAATAAAGCCTCAGACTTTATTTTCTTTTTTCAGGATAGGCTTGCAGGGTAGAGGGGATGAAAAAAAAAAAAAAAGAGAAGAAAAAGATGCAGTACGCCATTTTGGACGATCGCGCTAATAAGCGACTTTAGCAATAGTACAAATCTCGTCACACGCCTTTTCCACAATCACAAAAGACGATGTGATCTTAGCAGTGATATAGCAACGTAGAAATATGATTTCGTGATCACGTAGACGTTGCGAGCGTTCAGGATTGCTAACACTAATCTCTTTTCTCGGGTGATGAAAACGCGTGAAAATTTGCACCCTTTATACATTACGCACTAGTAATGCCTTGAACTTGAACACACGCATGGAATGTGCAAAATAATAAATCCAGTCGATGTTCGAGGGAAGCACCACTGTAGTCGAAGTAACGAAACACGACGGCACAGGCGTTTCTGCTGTCTTGAGAGTGCCTCCACGACATCACCGCACGAGAAGACGGATCTTCCCTTCTAGTACGTGCCGGGTTATCATAGCGACACACGACAAGAATTCACAGTCAAGGATAGTGCTTTTACACGAAACGACAGGCTTCCTTTCAACTCCGCCGGCCTCGTCGAGGATCACCACCGACGCCATGTTTGAAGATACAAGGAACCGCAAGCGGCATGACGGGCATGCAACGCGCGCGGACGAGCTCTCCTCCACCTGTGATCAGTCTGTCGGTGCGGTCGCTTCCGCCGTTCTCGAACGTAGTGAGGAAGTTCAGCCCGGCTCAGCTCCTTGCGTTGCGAACGAACACGAACGAAACGACCGTTTGGCGCTTCGTTGCTATGGCAACTCCTCGTTCCAACCGGTTTCATTCTTTCGTAAGAATGGTGGTCGCTCCGAACGCAGGTGTGTGAACGGGCTTTAACATCCCGGGCGGGAGGATGGTGTAAGGGATTCAATATTCTGCCTTCGTCCTCGCTTTATTGAGGTCGCGCATAAAAACGTAGGCATAAACGAAGCTATATTCATGCATTTTTCTGTCATTCGCTTAATGATGTATTCATAAATGTGATGTAAACCTTAACGTTTAAACTAAATAAATCAAAACCTATTTAATTATAATTAGGCTGTGTGAAGATCCTGAGGTACCACAGTGTACAGACGAGGAAGGAGATATTAAAGGCAACTTTACCTTAATTCTATTGTCCTCTTCCTGCTCCTTCCACTTTGGTTTCTTCACTCTCTTCACCCTGCCTCAGGTGCTTAAAAATAATGGTAAACATTCATCAGCTCACCTGCGTCATCACTGTTTTATATATTGTTTTACGTTTTCAGGGGGAAGCTGGTGTCAGGAAGATGCTTGCCATACTCAGAGAAGAACTCGATCGAGCGCTGGCACTAATGGGTAAGTGCTCTCTTCGTCCTTATATTCATCGCAATCGGAACTCGCCATGGCCATCGAACGTGCGAAGTAAACAATAACGTAACAGCATAATATCCAGCCTTATACGAGCGAACAAAACACCACGACGTGTGGCCTCGACTGATTATGTTTCATCGACCGAGTATACACGAACTCATCTATGTTACGTCACGGCGCGGTGGCGGCGCGTCGGTCGCACTTCCGGTCTGGGACTGTCGGCAGAAGTCCCCATGCCAGACGTGTATTCCTGCGTTGTTTTGAAAGGAACCAGGCAAAAGCCTTCCTTCTCGTCAAAACGCCGCGACTGGGGCCGTACCAAAAGTGTCGAGAAAGGTTTGAAGGTCATTTTTCACGTGCTCGGTTCGTCCGAGAATCTGGATATCTGCCGTGAAAAGGGGAGAGCAGACGCCGTCGGACAACGATTGCTTGGGCGGGAAGCCATTTGGGTTGAATTCACGGATATTTATGGTCATCAGATTTATTTGTTTTGTTCCAACATGAACGCCAGAAAACTGTCAAGTTGTGCGGACCACCTGCGGACTAAGTTTAGTGCGCCTTCAAATTCAAACGGCCGCCTGATCGTTCGAACTTTCGTCTGCTCTTTCAAACGTTTCTGCTTGTCGTCTGCTCTCTTAGACGACGCCGGCCCATAGACCAATTGTTGGCCCGGTGCTTGCGATAAAAAGTAAGTGCAGGTCTCAAAAGACTTAAAGTTGAAGGTTGGTAAGCAGGCTCGGATGTAAACAGTAGATACAAGGAGATGTTGATCATTGTTACCACTAACCATCGCCAACTTGTTAGGCCTAATTCACTTGGTCCGAATATGCTTGCGATTTTCAGTATCCACGTCGACTATCTTGCAGCCTTAGCGGCGTCACGACTGAAAATTGCGAGCGAAATCGCATCATGCGAATCAGGCTTTAGCGTACATACTGCGGCGTCCACGCGGAATGAATCGCCACATGTCACATTATTCACGCGAAGTTGGGCGGTGTAACGAGCCTCAGTAATTTTGCTGACGCCGCTCAAGTAGTCAGACATCGGCAGGAAGACGTAGAGTCAACAATTAGAACGAGAAAAAGGGCAGGGGGACTCACACCGACGCCGACAACATCGCGTTCCAATGGTTTGTTTATGGGCGACGGCGAGCTTCTTGCCCACACCCCCCATCGCGCATGCACGGCGCCGGTGGCGTCCGCTAGGGGCGCGCCGGTTTGTTTGTAAACATGAGTTGGTGTATACTGGCAACAAATATTGGAGCGCATTATATGCTCTTTTCACTTCAATCTCCGTCCGGGTGCAGCTCGTTAATACGACCATAGATACGACACGAAGTGCACCTGCCCTTGTTCTCTATCGATGAGTAGAGGGCACATAGGGGTAGGCTACGGGGGGAAGAGGGCATCGGGGCTCGTGCCCCCCCCGGGCCATGATCCTTACCGAGACGCTGTTTACGTGCCACGTAACGAGCTTCTAGTATTGGCATGTACACAGAATAACGCCCACATTGCATTTATTGACAAAGTACACGGCAAATGGAATCCCAGCGTGCTTTCGTTAGCTCCAACTCTAGTTCTGGCGAGAAGGCAACGCGGCACCGATCACTTTTACGTCCGCTTGGTCCGCTTCCATAGCAGCGTGCCATTTTGCGATGTCCCACCAGGCTTTATTTCCATGTATTAAAGAGAAAAGACCCGTGGCCGAGTAGATTACGGCTTCCGAAGCACAGGGGCCTGGGTTCTACCCCCACAACTTTGCAGCTGGCACAAGCATTTTGTTTTTCAGATTTGTGGTCGCCGGCACATGCGTCGTGGTACCGGCGATGAACACACGGCTACGCTTGCGTGGTGATTGACATTGACAAACAGCGACGGACCAATGGCGATATACATACACTGCAAGATGTACTCCCCTAAAATAAACTACTGCTATTTGACGGTGCAAAAACAATTGCGCGGAAACCCCCCCCCCCCCCCCCGCCCAGAAAACTTCTCAGCCAGCCCCCCCCCCCCCCCCCCCCCCCCCACGAAAAAGGACAGTCTCCGCCGGCTGAGAGGGCATGTAATACAAGAAGGGGTCTCACTGTTCCGTCGGGGTCACGTGGCTTATGGACAGCGTTTGCAACACGGGCTGCGAGCAGGTGTCCAAAGCGCTGATCATCTGCGAGTTTCTCTGCGCCTTTACTCCTGCTCTCCTCCTCGCCGCGCGAAAACGCAGCGCATGCGCACTTGTGACCAATCGGCGCGAGAGGCGTTCGCCGTTAAATTGTGAACGCCTCTCGCGCGTGATTTGAACAATGCAACCGTCTGCATATCGTCAACTTTCTCTTTTATTTTTTTTTCTGCTAGAAGTAAACTTATACCAGCACACTCGTTATGATACGAACTCCTAACACCTAGGTTTTTTGCCGCACATACCCGAATCTACCGCGTGCTCCCAAACCCAGTTGAAGCATTTAAAGAAGCTGTGCACCAATTTTCACTTTGAAACAATTTGCATATTCTACTTTCGACATTGTTTATCTTGTCATAAAGGACAGAAAGCGCATCTGCTTCCTTCGAAATGTTGCGATTCCATCGCGTAATCGCGAGGGGAACGTGGCTTCGTGATGGTTACTTGACGTCACGTGAAACTGTGGTATTACCTGGCACCGCGACGCAAGGTGACATTGTAACGTCACAAAAGACTGATGCTACGCATTTAGAGCGCCCTGGGGATATTAAAAAGAGATACTAGTTTAGCCCTAGGAGAAAAAGTCCGACGTACTGAATTCAGCCTAACATCCGTTCCCACCACGCAGGATGCTCGTCCGTCGGCCAACTGAGCCCCGAGATGGTTGTACACCAAGACCACTTTCGAAGATGGACGAGATTTGAAAGGCGCGGAGAGTAAATAGCTGAGCTGCGTGTTTAGACGTTGTGTTCGTAAACAAATAAAGCAAATATTTGCCACATGATGTTTTTCAGAATTCTGCTACTGACATTTGCTGCGAGAATATTACTGACAAGGTACGGCCATTGGTGTCTTTAGTGTTTTTGAGTCTCATATTTCGCAAAGTGCCTGCAAATATGGATATGTTTGGTCGATGCTATAGTTTATGCTCTCGCTGTGTCTGTAGTTGGTAGGTACGTAAAAGGAGGCCAGGACATTGCTTTCAAATCTAAGAGCAGTCGGGATATAAGGTTTTCGTCAAAATTTGTTCAGGATACACAGGACACTAGTGTAACTTGAAGAAGCCTAAAATAAATATTTGTGAAAGAACGTAAATCGTCATGACTAGTTTCCGTTAGATTAGCGCACTGCTCAATGTCTCGAATGACAAACAAACTACTGTGAAACAAGGCACACTAGCGGAGAGCGAGTTCCACTGCTCGTTGCAATGTTACGTCATGAGAAGAAGAAATTTCGCATGGTTTATTTATTTATTACGCGAATTAGTTTGATTAAAATTTGGGTAGACAAAATATGTGTCGAGCATAAAACATGTAGGTCTGATTAAATAATCTTAAAAGCGGGCACCTAACCCCTTGCCTACTAATTGTTTCCTTCAAGGAATGTACAGAAAAGTTATATTTTAAACAGGCAAATTGCATTAAAATAAGACAAAAATGTGCGCTGAAATTCCAGGTCTAATTTCTTGCTCTAAATCAGGACTTATGGTCTGAGCCCCACTGAGGTGCAGACGCCGAAGTTGATGGAATGCTTGCAGTATTCACATCCTTTTTATCACTCCTGTCACTGCCCATCAAACTATCGTCTGATCCCTAAAAATAAGAGAGGCCAAAGGATTCGTCGTCACATATGCCTGAGCACTATTCACATTGAAAAAAAAAGTTTGCTACCTCTTTGTTGGCTTCAGTGGACCTCCGCACCAAAGTCATGCTGTTTTAGCGTGAACGCTCAAAAGCAACTGTTTTCCCTGGTTAAATGAAGCGTTGTCTCTCTGCCAAACAGCAAAACAAACGAGCAAACTGCACAAAGTACGTGCAACAGAAGGGGCGGTTTTGCCATCTGTCAGAGAGAGCGCTAAATAAGAGCCTAGACCCAAATGCGAGTCACACTCGTGGTCAGTCTTTATGGCCCGTAATTGGTGACACCAGTGACACTCGTTACTGGTAGGCAAGTGGTTAAATAAAGGTTGCAGCACTCCGGCTGGCGTGCTACCATCGTGCGCACTCCATTTTAGGTACATTTTATGCAAACTACTTTTCGTTATCTCGCCCCTTAAATCTGTGGCTTTAAGACTTTAGGTCTCTACCTCAATCAGCTTCATCTAGCGACGGATTCTTCCACCAAGTGCTTGATACTCTAATGCGGATCCGGCAGCATTTCTTCAGCTGCTTGTGGTCACGTGGCATCCGTTTCTATACTTTATCATATTTTATTTGTTTTAGTGTCTCACTCACCAGGATACTAAAAGCTCAAGTGTTAAATTATATTTCCAGAAACTGGTGGCGATATTCACCACCTGGCAACACCGCTCCAGCAGGGTCTTATTGTTTCCAGCAGTGTATAAATACCCGCACCGTACCAGATACCAATGACTAATGCCTCAAGTTTGTGTTCAGAAACAATGCAAGTGTGCAGGAAATACCGCAGGCATGGGACTTCAAGGTATACATCATGAATGCTAAGTTTCGATTCCTTGAAAGTGCGGTTAGCAAATGCCAAACTCCCCTTTAAATCACATTGACCAGTCCTGTGTCATTTCACAGTGAAGTCACAGCGATATCTGCGACACGTCACGGGCAAGTGGTTGGGCAGTAGTGTCGCGTTTACGCGCTTTGAGATGCGTGAACAAAAGCGTTCGGAACAAAAGCAACATCTGACCTATTTGTTCTGTGCGCTTTTTGCTTCTTATTTTTGTTCCGGAGCTCGTGAAAGCGCATCTTTTGCCACAAGCTCTTGGCATTGACAGTGCTATGACGACATTTCCTGATCGGCTGTTTATTTGTACTTTCCTAGAGAGGGCGTAAAGTAGGAATCAAATACTATAAAAGCCCCAAGTGGGGTGTCTCCACGTGCGCTTTGCTTAGGGCGATAACATCTGACCATGCAGCTGCCGATACTTCTGAATCTTTTTGTTCCTTAGCGCGTGACAGCGCGTCTCCCGCCTTGAGCTCTTGACATTAAAAGTGCCACGGGGGCGTTTTGTTGCCGAATACTTGTATTTTTTACGGGAGAGCGTGCTGTCGACATAGGGTACGACAGAGAGTGGCATCACAATAAACAGAGTACATTGAAGCACCCTAGACCTAATCATAAAGCGGGTAGTTAACGCTGTAGCGTATATCTGTGTTAACGCCTCCGCTTCCCACGCAGTGGAACCGGGTACGATTACCGCGGGCGGTGGGCGATCTTTTTCAAGAATTTTGTAACGTCGACGACGGACACGTTTCGCCCTTCTGCGCCAACTTCAACACCAACAACGACAACTGCAGCATCAGCAACTGCAATAACATCAACAACGGAAGTCATCTCGAGTTGTGGGAAGGGCCCATAACAGCTATTGCGGTAAAAACAGATAAAGAAAATAGCAAGATGTTGCGGTTTTGATAGCATGTGATGTGTAATAGCTGACCAGGCAGCGTTTTTCTTTTTTATTAATATTTTCGTAAAATTTAAGTTGATATTCCTTGATGTGTGTCTGTCCAGATGTCACATATCACATAAACGATCTGATTCAGTCTTCGGCACTTACGCGTACAGTTTTTACAAGTTATAATAAATGAACCCAGGCATGTATGTGTTAATACACGAGAAAATCTAATTATCTTTGCTCGAGTTAAGACCGATTAGAAGTATCCTTATGCACCGTTAAATATTGTTCGGGCAAACATATACCAAGTGCGTTGAGTTTTAGCAAGCATAAGAAGAACTTAGGGGCCAAGCTCGCCAAACTCATTCGATGATAATACGATAATAAACTAAAACAAAAATAAAAGCTGAGCAAAAAGAAACACTAACGGATTTTTTTCTTTTTTGTTCTTTTTTTTTTTTTTTTTTTGCGTATGCATGTCGAGAGGAATGTAAAAACAGATTTTTTGGTGTACAATCCTATGGGGATTAAATCACCTAGAATGGACAAAAAAGCGCCGTCTGGGTAGTTAAATCAATGTCATATAAACTCACAGGGGCCTAAATAGTCTACCTTAGAGTTACACTAAAGCAGGTAGCATATGTGTAAAACGGCGCATTTTAATAAATATCTTGGATTACCTATTGTGTAGCCTGGTAGGCACTTCTGCAGAGTGCACACAGCACCTACGGCGGAAAACTCTACCGAAAGATAATAAGCAGAGGCAATGTGGCTTAAATAAAAGACCCTAAGAGACAACAAAAGTGACGATAGCGCATGAAAGTAGTTTGTGCTGACACACGCTTATTCTCGCTTATATGGCCGCACCGCTCAGTGAGACAGGGATCACCTATTAGCTGGTGGACCCTCCCTTGATGTCATTCAAAGAATTGACTTACACAGTTCATTATGTTTTACTTAAAGGCACAAGTTTGCCTGCTTAATGATATATTTTCAGTGTGGCATTTTTTTTTTATGCTCTTGCATTTGTGGCAATATGGGAATTCGTTCAAAATGTTCTATTATTTAGGGTAAAGCAACTTTTGGTATATAATTTCTGCGACTGTGTATGCTATCTACACGTAGATCGAGGGGAGTTTTAGATAGCTTGAATGGGCGTAAAATAAATTACTGGTAAATTGATAAATGTGATAGACCTGCACTGATCTTCATCGGGTACCAACAAAACAAGAGCCAGACAAATGTTGAATAAAAAATCACAAAACACGTGTTACTACATAAAAGGGTATTTTATTTGCTTCTTTGCGAGATTTCTGAAATAAAAAGTGTGTCTTAATCAAAGTAAGTCCTTGGTGAGATCCCAAACGATATCTTGCATTCTGCTTGGTCGCTGCTTCCAGCATGTAAAACAGTGCGAGTGACAGCGGCTAGGTGGGGCAACTTACCGCCTGACTGAAGAAATCCGACAGTATCCTTGTTTTAAAGAGGCTCCTCTTTTTCAGAAAGAAAACGGTATACAGGAACGCTCTGAAGCTGTCAACCTGCGAAAATTCAATCCAAACGTAATGTTAGTTTAATCACTTGTCTGAAGTTGATTTCAGACAAGTGATAAATAAATGCCCCCAAAACATATATTTTTTTCGTGAAAATTAAAAATCATACTTTTTTATTCTGCACGATTTGAGATGAAATTTCCCATATCGGGGCAGGCTGAAAGGGTCCAGCTTTTAATTTTCACGAAAAAAATATATGTTTTAGGGGCATTTCTCAATTGAATGAGAGCGCAAACCGCAAGTTTCCCAGATTTTTTGTTCTCGAGTTACGAAGCGTAGAAGCCGCAGTGGCAGAAACTAGTGTTTTTGCCTGCCGTCGCAGGTCGCGTGTTTGACGCCCTCTGCTGGTGCTATTGTTTTATCTACACCCTTTTAACTTTTCTCCCTAATTTAATAGGTATTATAGAGATACCTTGATGTATTCAAATAGTTTTAGGAATTTGATTGTTTTCTAAATAACATGTCAAACTCGTCACTCCGGTCGCTTTTCGGTCAAATTTGACAGGTCATTACTTTGTCTGTACTTAAGGTAAATTTTCTTTCTTTGACTCTACAGAAAGCCCAAAGGAAGCCCATTATAGATATAATAATATCATTATTATCTGCCGAGTAGCCGTTCCGCTACCTTTACGTAAACGTTGTGAAAAATAACAAATGTTCACACATTTCACGCGATTGCGGCTCAAACAGAGGACATACAACCAAAATATTACGTTTCTAGACTGTTTTTTCTTGTAGTCGACTAATATGTCTAAAAGAATTTAAAAAATAAAAATTAAAAAAAATGGGGTTTTTGAGAA